CTCTGGCTGTCGGGTTCGGTTGTCTGTTTCTCTCCCTGTCGGGCAAAACAAGAGAATATTGAATATCGCGGGACGCGAATGCATTCGAGCTATTGAATTGGTGTGCAATTCGCCAGTTCTTTGCAACGGCAAAGGTGTGTTTTTCAAAATACGAACAAAACCAATCAATAGTGAGAGAGAGAAAGAAAGAGAAGGAGGCAAGCAAAATAATAATAATAATAATATAAAAAAAGACACAAACACACATAACATACGATGCGATATATCGTGTGTTATTTGTTACTTACATTAGCTGGTAGTCAGCGTGCTTGTTACATGTCGTGGCTGTGTACAATTATCTATGTGGCTGTTGTTTGTTGATGTTGATAATGTTGTGTGTATTTTTTTATTTTTTGTTCGCTCACTTGCTCATTCGTCTCTCTTTCAATTTTCAATTCATTCGCGCTCTATCGCCGGGTAAACGAACGGTTTGCGCATTTGAATGTTAATTCACATTCACAAAAGTTCGCATGGTGATTGAAATATATATAGGTATAAATGGAATCGATTTTGAATTACTTTATGACCAAAGGCGCATGCATATACATATGCACTAAAATGTGCATTCCATTCAATGTAAAAGAAGACAAAAACAGTACTAGCAACAGAGACAACGGCAGCCTGCTCAAGAAATGAAAAAAAAAATATAACAACATAACATACTCTATCATATTCTGCGTATAGTCTATAGTGTGGAGATCGCATTTTGTATTTCTATTAGCATAGGACTCAAATATATATATAGACATTTATTCGTTAAATACCTCCGTTTTCCGCTCACTTCTTCTACTCTTTGTGCGCGCTACGCTGGTTTGTTGATTTGCTACCACAAACCAGCTCGAAAACACTTTGCACACACTTGCTGCGCGCAATTCTACGCTGGAAATTAATTCACAGCTTTAAAAGTCGCATATTTGTGCCTTAATCAAATGACTGATAGGAGAAAACCCAATGAATCGAACGTTTAGTCGGCAAGCATTTGGTACCTGTAAGCTGTTTAGTGAAAGTCCGTTAGAATATTCAAAAAATGACCTCGTTCGACTTAAACTATTTGAAGTGATTTGTGACGAACGAATATGAACTAACGGATGGACGTGCGCGCTCGTTTATATACACACATATTTGGTCGATCCATATACTGTGTGACTTCCACTTGAAAAACGCATTCCGCAATCATGTTTTTCTATTATTTTTTTTTCGTTTGCCATGCCGATATCACACAGTGGATCTTTGAATGAGTGTGGAATTTTTCCCAATTGTTTGAATGAAAAATTTGGCATTTTAAATGTTTTATATTGGCAATCCCAATGAATGAAGATTATTGTTGTCAATCGAAACACAACATAGCAAAATACGGTATCTTTGATCAATAAAGTACCGAAATCGAAAAACTATACATTCTGCGTCACATTACCATCCGACACACACTTGTCTTCGCAACGAATATTACGACAATTTATTCGAAAATGAATGGTGTCGGCATTTCGGTGGCTCATTTGATGATAGAGTAACCTAATCCAAACATATATTATCTAATTTGACTATCAAATTCAAAATGACAATAGAAAATTGATTCTTGGAAACTGCTTTACGATCGACAACAAACAAACAATTTTCACTTTACATCACATTCACACATTGTTTACCGTTGTTTCGACGGTTTGCATTTGTGTCGTTGGAAAAAGTGAAAATACACACACAAAGCTCTTCATTCATAACAACATTCACGCATTCAGTCACACTTGTTCGTCTCCCAGTCGTATACACAAAACAAATAATAATGTAGTTGCTCATTTCTTCATTGGCACATAAAAATTGTGCACATTGTGTTATGTTTTCCGCTATTTCCTTTAATTTTTTTTTCTTCTTTCTTTCGTTTCATAAATGTTGACGTTATGTTTCATTTTTTTATTGTTACTTTTGATTTCTAACCATTGGCAGGTGGTTTTAACGCGTGGTTAAAATTTAAATGCCTAAACTTGGAATGACTTTTGAACAGTTCATACGAAAATAGTTTGGAAGAGAAACAAAAAAAAGATTCGAGCTATTTTTATTATGTTTGTACGATTTTAGTGTCATTAGTTATAAATATATCCGATATATTTAGCTTGACTATATTTGGATGATTATAATCACTGAACGTCCATTGTCACCCGCACTTAATCGTTTGATTTTCATTATCTCACGATGATCTATCGTTGTATCAACGGTATTTTACCGAATGTTTTTTTTTCTTTTCGAATTTCTCCGAAACTGTCTTGGTGACAATCATAAATAAAATCCACATTAAAAGGTCATTTAATAAAAAAATTCCGTGAAAATGCCGATTTTTGAATACGATGTCAAACAATGGGTTTGAAATTTGATATCGATTTCATTTCTTCAAAGCGTTCATTCATTTTTTTTTTTTTTTTTCATAAAAAACACACTTCAAATGAATTTTAAATCGATCTATGAAATTTGAGTTTCGACAGCATTTCGAACGGATACGACAGTGTTAAGAAAATGATTTATTTTTAGATTGTAAAACGTTCATCGGTATATTAGTCATTGTAGTGCATATTCAAGTGTCCATTGTCAAGGTCATCATTCCATTTGGTTGAACCAGTTCATGAGGTTCATCTGCTTATTCAACTGAATTTTGTTTTTCCACACCATGGACAATTTAAACCAAAACAATATAAGATAATTGAACCCAAATTGCAACATTACTCCGTATTCATTGTCATTTTGCATGGCTTGCAACAGAGTTTGGGAAAACTTTTCTCATTCGAATGAAAAAGAAAAAAAAATGTGCGCAACATATATTATAGCTTACAACAATGCAGTAAATGGCATATTTGGACTTTTGGTAGTCAAAACGCACTTTTGAATTTTCTTTGGATGGCACGAACAGTGTGTGTGTGTGTTTTTTTTCGTTCGTTTTCTTTGCTTGCATTTTCAACAAGTAGCAATCATTGTGCACAAATGTTTGGTTAACTATTTGACCAAGTTGCAGTGTGAACATGTTATCGACATCACAAAACATATTGGCTCAATTTGATGCAAGCGCAAACTATTTTTAGCAAATCACAATGCCAATAGAAATGATGTGTGTGTGTGTGTGTGTGTGTGTGTGTGTGTGTGTGTGTGTGTGTGTGTGTGTGTGTGTGTGTGTGTGTGTGTGTGGTTTGTGTGCGCTTCAGTCTAATCGATGGAATGCACAGGGAACGTAGTCAATTGTTACAGCACATTGTGTTCGTATAAACTTAAATTGTATTCCGCTGTGCAACAAATTCTATTGGTTTGCACCAGAAACAGGTCGAAAACGAAAGTTACATTGATATACATACATTTTATATGACTATGAATTGTGTATTCTGTTCGGTGAATGAACGAAACAATTCCATTCATTCGAGTGAATGAAAAAGAGCGACACGAGATAGATCCAGAGTTGTGAGAGGGAGAGAGAGGGAGGGAGATGTGTTTTCGATCGAAATTAAGTTAATTCCCATTTGGCATTGCCATACCAAAGCATGTACACATTGAAATGATTAAAGGGACTGTAATTTTCGTAGAACTTATTCGATCGTCGTGTGTATGTTTTCATATTATGTATGCAATGTCTATTCAAAAATCTCTTTCATGGATTATGCACTTTAATTCCCAGCATTTGCAAATGTGAAGAAATTAGAATGTCTCTTTCTCGGTAAATTTTGCATAGATTTGTTGTGCATATATTTGTGTGTGGTGCATAGCATAGATGGGCTAAAAATTCTGCTGTGAAAATTGTAACATTTATTTAGATATTCCGCATGGTTTTATTTATAATAACATTAATACACGAATGCAAAAATAAAGTTGCATGCCGACTAAGTGTATGTAGAATCTATAGAGATGTTGTTAGTTTTGTTTTTTATGCTACCGTTGTTGTTGTTGTTGTTAGTTGCATGAAATGTACATTCGTTCCATGCATGTGGATGAATTTTGCGCTGGTATGTTTGGCTGGAATCGAGTTCGAAATCGGGCTTTACTATACATTATTATTTTCTTGCTTTCTGCAATGTATTCATTGACATTCAACCGAAGCAAAGTGTCTTGAGCGCGCCAGCATATTGTATGCATGCTTTTAACGAACGGCAAACAGATAATACAGATACATAAAAACATGTGTGTGTGTACACGGCCAATAGCGATGCGGCCTCAACATAAAATGTGCCACTTAATTCGAGCTGGACGACTGTTGCGAGCCGCAAGTTCACACACAAATATTTGAACCCGATTGTGATAAAAATGCCGACACACACACACAAATGCGCGCGCGCGCTTTGGCAAAATGAGAGAAACAAAACCGACCCACACTGAGACACACAACATGCTTATGGAAGTGTATATCGTTTCAAGTTTAATCCGTTGGTGCATGTACATGAAATATATTCTGCAATATGTTCAGCGTGTGCGAGCTTCTCTTTCTTTTAAATTGCATTTCTTTTTCTGGTTATTTTCTTTCGTTGTTTTTTCTTCTTCTTCTTATTTTTTGCTGTTGCTCATTACATTGGCTCCCGATACGTTTTCAGGCATTCAATTCACTTGCGAGCGCATTTATGATCCACATTAGCGTGTGCTCGGCATTCGTTGATTCCATTCCATGACCAACTTAATTTTCACTTCATTGAACTATACTCTCCTGCAGCGCTTTTTGGCTTCAAATTCCCCTAGACTTTTCATTCCACTTCGTTTGTTTCTCAAATATCGAGCAACGAAAAAAAAATTATATAGAAACAATGCAACAACACAACTATTATCATCCCTTTCACAAAGTAATGCGATTTTGTTCGTTTCTTTTGTATGGCATCAGTCAAACTATAACCGAAATTAAACGTTTAGTATTAAAATGGCTGAACTGTTCTGATAGACGAAAAAAAAATCCATTTTATGTTTCTATATCGTTCATTCTTTTTTCTTTTTCTCTCATTTTGTAGCATTTTTATAGTCGCCGATCAAATAGCTCAATGTATGAGCACATTTCATAGTGAAGTAAAACATGTAAGCGATTGTATTGCAACGAAATTCGAATGGACTTCGTACATTGGCGGTTTTTTTAGATCGAGCGAGTGAGAGTGAGAGAATAAGATAGAGAAAAACGTACAACGTTCAGAAAAGTAAAAAAAAAATCACACACGCAGAGACAGTTGGAGAGAACGAAAGATAGAGAGAGAGACAATTAAGAACGCACTTGAATCTCAAAATTTGTTGCGTTGTGATTGTTAGCCAGCGATAAGTAGAAACAGGAGACGAGCACGTTAACTGGATTGCATGCAATTGAAGTGAAGTGTGATAGCACGAGAGTGATAGAGAAGGAACACAACCGAGAAGAAAAAACAAAGCACAAGAAATAAAGAACTGTGAAACGATAATAATTTCACAAAAAAAAAGTGGGTGAGTATCAGTATAGTGAGAGATTTCTGTATTATTTTCGCACAGCATTTTCTTTGCTTGTTATTTATTTATTAAAATATCTGGTTGTGCGTGTGTCGGTGTTTTCTTTTCTTTTCTTTTCATTTTATTTTCTCAAACACACACACACACAAAAAACAACTAAACAAGCAGCATCATTCATTGAGTGCGTTTCACTTCCTTTTGGTTTGTGCTCGTTGCAAAAGCAGGTGAATCTGCGAGTAGTTGATCGAGCCAAAAATGGATAAACCTGATTCGACAATGTCTGCCGCGGATGGTACAAGTTGCGGTGGAGCTGTTGCTGGTTCGATTTTTGGTACCATTGCGTGCATCATTTTGTTGGCAGTGGGCGCATGGTTGTTCTACAAAAAATATTGGAAACATAAATCAGGTAATTTAAATGCAATCAATGCATTTGCATTTGGCCCCGAAATATATGATCCACCCCCATGACATAACATACGAACATAACTTGTGTGAATAGACGTTGTCGTGTTATGATTCATATGCCATATGTATTGTTTTAGTTAATAACACTTTTTTTTACTCCTTATATTCGCCCAATATCGAGCCCATTTCGCAATATAAATAATAATAACAACAAATGAGAGTAATCCGTTTTATTTCAATTTCATCGTTAATAATATATGTGTATGCAAAATTAGCAATCCAGTGCAATTGCACAAACTCTCTCGTGGTGTTATGTATATTTTATGTGAGCCTCGCTGTTTGGACATTTAAATCAACTTATGAATGTGAATTTGAGCACAGCTTTTAAATCGCAATTTGCTACTTATAGTTTTTATTTTTTTATTAATATTATTTCTCTTTTTAAATCGAGCAATTTTGTAAATTGTGCACGTCCTACCATTACTAACATATTATATTATATATATGTGTGTGTATGTTGTCTTTTTTCGTCCCGGTATCGTAATGTCAGCATAAATTTCATTTTTTAATGAAATCGCACTCATTACTTTCACTTCGATAGCTCGAGCCGAAAAGCAATGAAACGAAGACACAGAGAGGGAAAAAAATCATCGTTAAACGATTCTCATATAAGTGAATTAAACATTTAAACGGGATTTCAGACACTTTTTCCAATTTGTTGGCTATTTTTTTCCTCTTCTCTCCATCGATTGCGTTTCGACAATGAAGCAGAAATCGTTCGATCATTACGAAAGTTGTGATGAGATTTGATCTTTATTAAAATTGCTATTTATCTTTATGCAGAGCAATTTGGGTAACTTTCGACTGAAAGTCGCTATTTTAAAGTTGTTTGCAGGTTCTAAAAAAACGCGCACACACACACCGACAAACACACGTGCACAGTAAATTTCACCAAATTTCATCACATTAAATAATGGATTTAAATTAATTTATTTTCCTTTTTTCTTCGTTTTCTGCAAAAAGCGATCGACGATCATAAAAAAGTGCTTAAAATTTTTGGCCATATTATATGTAGATATCACTAATCGAATGAGAATATCAACATATCTGAATGGAATTGAAACCAGATAATAGAAAAAATATAAAAGCGACGTTATGATCAAAAATTTATAAGCACTAAAAACACACACAACGAAATGAAACCACAAATTAAAAATGTAAAATTGATTCTTCGTTTATTCATCGCATATTCGAATATTAATATTCTTTTACATCTTCTTCGCCATTGCCATCATAATAGTGATAATCATTCATCGGTTCTGTGAATCAATCGATAATCGTTTTGTTATCGTTGTTCATATGTTATATTCATTAAGCTATCGGGCCATGTGTGTGTGTCAATAAACAAATGTGCGAGAGAGTTGTATTTGCTTAAGACATTTGTGAGACACCTGTCTGTTTTCGTTGCTTCACCCATTTCTCCTTGCATCGTGTGTGTTGTCCATCGTACCGTTCGAAACACGATGGCACAAAAATGGTATACAGTGATATATATCAAGAGAATGAAAGAGCGAGAGCGAATAATTTGCGTTTGGTATGTTTACGAAAATAAATGGCAACAAAGAGAAAATCATTCATTTTACTGAATGCCATACAATGCCATAGCCAAACCGAAAAAAAGAAGAAAAAAACAGCAATAACAACGAAGAATGAACAGGTCGATGATAGAGAGCATAAGACACAGAGATATGCTCGCACATTCTCTTGGCAAGCACCAAGCTCGAAATTTAGATACGAACAAAAACAAGAACAATAACAACATTGGTTGAAAAATATGCGCTTTTGGTTTGTCCGCGTGCGCTCGCTCTTCTCTCGCAACATAAACGTTCAATGAATGACGAGTGAGTATGGGTGCATATCATTCCACTTAATATTATACGTATATGGATAAATATGTGTGTACGAAAGAAATGGAGAGAGAGAGTGCACGCGCGCTCCACTGCTGGCATGTTTGTGTGAAAAAAACCGGTTGTTAAACGGGCCAAGTCGATTCGAATCGTTCGTTTGGCTCTCTGCATAAGCCATTTGCCGAAACCAAAACTGTCCGAAATCGAACTGTATATACGCACATTCACTCAATTAAATCGTGAACGAAAAAGCACACAAAACCACAAAATATGCGAACTCAAAAAAACATATGAGAAAGAAAAACATGCACGAAAATGGTTTGTTATGTGTTAGTGTTTCTCTGTGAAAAAAAAATTTCCTGCAAGAATAAAGCACACAAACGAAATTTCATGGTTTGGCTTTGTGATATGATATACTGTGCATGCTGGATTCGGCCAACAGTTCATATATGCCAATAGCTCTCTGTTCGCCGTAGATTTGTAGTCAAACAAATGGAATTCGCACGTAATGTACACGAAATGATGAGAGAGAGAGAATAATTCGCTGGACGCAAAGAGGGTGAATGAGCTTGCAATCGCGCACGTTCGCTAAAGAATCATAATTGTACGACGACATGCTGTTTTGGTTCGATTTCGCAAAACTATCGCTATTATACTTTCCGTCCATAAAATTCAAATGGAGAGATTATACTGTTTTATCTAAATTGGTAGCGACACACTGTTCGATGGTGTGCATAACTTTATTGTTGGATTCCATATTTGGTGCGCACGGGCCATCATCATCTGCCTCTAAAACAGAAAAACGAGAACAACGGACATAGAAATACCCGATCAGGAAGGCAACACACATTTTTTTTTTGATTTCCAACTTCATTCTTCCACACCGGAAATCACGCTGAAGAATCCGCAACCATGCACATATACACATGCAAACAAACGTAATACCAAAAAAAAAGATAAAAAGAAGACAAACTATGACAACAGATAGACAGAACGAAAGAATACATTTTACACGAGTGTGCATGCACTAATATTTAAATTTCTACGTGTTGACATTTATGTTGATTGAAATTTACGGCCAAATCGATTGAAAGAGAGAAAAATGTGTTCATCCACAAGACACTCACACACACATGCATTACAATCGAACCGTTTAGCATGCGCCATTCAACCAGTTGCTTAACCAAATTGCTCGGAATGATTTAGAGACGACGATGTCGACAAAGACAACGCCGCAACTAGTTCTAATTGAAACGAACCAAAAATAGACACCAAAAAATGTCTATTATATCTACACACACACAAAGAGATACACAGAGAGAAATAAACTTTATAGTCATAATTAATACGGACCCGACAAAAATACCACACTGATGAAAAGAGCTTTGATTTTGTCTCGGTATGGTTTGGCAATGCTTTGTGCCTAGAATTCCAAACGGTCCAAAAACAAACAACAAAAAATGAATATGCATGGAAAAGAATGAGCAATGACAAACCATATGAATCACGTAATCATTATTTTATTCAATTCACAAATAATAAATAATAATGTTTGTGTACAATGGATTGCACACCGTTCGATATATGCGGTTAAATTATTTGTGTTGCACGTATCCACTGATGAAAATGAACCATTGATTGAATCAAATTGAGAGGTGTGCGTGCTGTAATGTGCGCATTTATGTTTAAATGCCCAAGCCCATTTAATATTACCAAATCACAAGTAATGGCATTAGAAAAGTTTTTGACATAATTGAAATAATAAAATTCATAAATCAACTTTAATTGATTTCTCGTCGGTAGGCCGAAATTATGCAACCACCGTCACCGCCACTGTTGCTGCTCCCCATTTTTTTCTTCTTGTTGTTATTCACCTTACCCATTCAAAAATTTCAAATCAATTTGAATATCGTACGTCAGTCTTCGATTCATTGTCTGAATAAATGAGATAAATTCCACAAATGCTCTTGTTCAGTTTCGGTATGCGTTATCATTTGATAAAATTACGTGAATATATAGAGCAAATTGTCAACTCATCAATTGATAACCGGAATTTGGAATCGGTAGTTTAAACCGCATGCAATATCGACTCGAATGCCAATTGACAATGTGAAATAGAAAAAAATGTGGATTTTCTAGATTCATATATGAAATGAAATGAAAAAAAAACTCACACGCACACACACATTGAAATAATGTCAACGGAATGCGATCTGCGCCAAAATGTTCGAATATAAAATATACACTTTTTTTTATTGTATATTATTATGTGTACGGTAATGAGACGAACGTTCATTAAATAAATTTCTGGTTGGATTAGAACGACACACGACTTCAATGTTGATAGCTAGAAATGTTGAAGCTGTTGACACAAATTTGTGTACCGGTGCAAAATGTGCAGTGCGTAAACGGGCAATACCGCTCTCTCACATGTATATATATGTTTGTATGTCTGTTCACAAAACGAATGTTTTCTCCTCGTTCCGGCCGAAACCGTATTGCCGCGAGACAGGAGGAATCAATAATGGTGATGTCGTTGTTGTTTATATGTTTTCAATCTTCAAAGCACATTTTACTGCATTCACCTATATTTTTTCTCATTTTGTAGATCAATATACCGCAACACGATAGATAATGTTATTCATTCCATTTCGATTTCACATAATAACAAAATAGGAAATTCAGTGCTCGTTGATGTTTTATATATTCCATTCTCTTTCTGCTTATTTTATATCGTATCCCTTTTTTTCGTCTGCCAAAATAGAAACGAATCCATTGGTTGAAGATGCTGAAAATTCGAAGGTTGACTACGCATTTGATAATCCGGCTTTCAAAGGTGCGTTTACATTGTAAAATCGAAAAGTTTCAATTCAAAATACTGCAAGAAAAAAAAACATTTCCTTATTTCTTTCTTTTTTTTTTGCTTCAAACTGAATTTCCAAATAAAATATACATCTTGAGCACATTCTTTACATTATTTTTTCTCTCTCGCTTTTCTTTGTTCAATTTATTCCTTTATTTAGGGGATAACAATAAGAATGCTTCGCCATTCGATAGCAAATGGAAAACACCAGACAAACGTAAAACCGTTGATGATTCATATGCAAATGCGACCATACCACGTTTGGTACCGTTGCGCGGTTCCGATTTTACTGGATTGGGCATTGAAGTTTGTGGTGGCTTAAAAGATGGCATCTTTGTGAAAAAAGTAATGCCCCAGGGACCGGCTGCGAATATTGTGCATCGAGGTAAGTAAGCAACGAAGCGATTGCGAATGAAAAGAATACATGAAGTGGCAAATACAAAATAATTTCATTGAAAAATATTTTCTCATCTTAAAAATCATAAAATAGGCGACAAAATAACCAGCATTACCATTGATTTTCGGCATATTGTCCAAGAGGATGCGGCCACAATTCTAAGCTATGCATCACCGTACAACGTTCAACTCGAATTGGTCGATTCAAATGGAATGTTATCAAATGTATTGTCACAAAACGTCAACCAACCGGCCGCATTGACACATCCACTGTATCGTCCGCGCAGCCAAGAGGATCTGAATACCATTGAACGAAATGCACGAAAGAAATTATTTTCAAAAGATGATAATTCGTATCCAACACTTAAAATGGATCAGCAACAACATAGCCATGTTCAACCGAAACCACGATCGCCAGCAATTCAATTACCACAAGCGCACGAGGAAAATGAAAAGAAAAATTCGTTGAAAAAAATTCAAAACTATTTTATCGATATGGTTGAAGAGAAATTCCAAACGAAAGCATCGCATTCAAATGAGTCGGGCAGCGATGGTAAAAAAGGCATGAAATTTGGCATTCGTGTTTTACCGCCCACTTTAAATGGCAAAGATTCGGGCAAATCACCGAACAAAGTACAAGCGGACAATGATAATAATGCAAATATTGAAAAAATTGAACACAATACCATCGAACCGATTCAACAACAACAACAGCAGCAGCAGCAACAACTTCAACAGCAACAACCACATAGTCCAGCACCACCAGAAGCCATGAAAAGATCAAAGAATAAATCACAAGATGCAAAGAAAGCAAACAGCATTCAAGATGACAACAAACCGGTTCCATTCGAACGACAGGCCTCGATCAATTCGAGTGGCATTAAACGTGACGCAGCTGGCATTCCACAGGTAAATCAATCTTCAATCCGCTATGAAATTCTTGAAAGAGAGATAAAAAACATATTCGCGCGTGTTTTTTGAACATTTTTTTCAATTTTTCCTGGTTTTATATGGAATGGATAGAGTAAAGAAAAACGTCTCACTTTCATCGATTTTAAGATTAGAATTTTGATTATCATTTACCTAGAAATTATGCAAATTGTTTCTACACGCACACACAAAAAAATATTTAAGATTAACTGATTAAATATTTTACAACAGTTAACCGAATTTTCATTTGAAATGTATCACACGATGATAGTTTTGATTAGCTGTTATAAACTAGAATTTGAAAGTCGACCGTTTAATATTCGTGTTTTTTTGTTTTCTCTTTTTCTGTGTGTTTTCAGGAAGTGCCAACTGAAATGATGCAGGCAGCAATGACGGCTGTAAATAATCGAACAAAAGTTAATTCAATTGATCGTAAATCAAAAGGAAAGGCACCAATTCCACCGGCTCGCGGTGAATACGATGAATCATCTGCAGACCATGTTGATAACATACATGTTGTTAAATTGGAAACTGTTGAAATGCCACAAATAACCACAATGAAAGTCAGCATAACAGGAAGTCAACCGGATCTCGGTGAGTTGAGCACATTGAATTACTTGGAAAATTGAACGATAAAAACCATGATTTTCCCCTTTTTTCCTATACCGAAAGCTTATTATTTCAGTTTTTTTATAATTATTCGTTCTTGTTCTGTTTATTTTTCAGACTCCGACGCTGAATACAATGGAAAGAGTGTTCAACAAATTGAATTAAATTCAAATCATATCACAGTTCATCAGGCGTCCGAAGAAGAAGAGGAATCGAATGAAGAACGACGAACGGCCAGTTTGGGTGATTTATCAAAATTGGAGCATAACAAATGTATAAATAACAAAAATCGTCCAACAAATGGCACATTAGAACGTGCACAAAGTCTTGAAATGTCTGATGCAAATAATCAAATAGCGGCCGGTAAAGTAACACCGAAAAAGCGAAAAGCCCATCCCGATCATGATCTTGTTGAAGTGATGGAATTGAAAGAGCCACGTTTCAGCGAGCCAATTATTGAGCATTTGGAACCATTACAAACGGTACGGTTGAAGAGTTCATATGAATGGGGCAATTTGGAGGATGCCATTTATGATGGCAAAGATAAGAGCGCATCAGACGATTCATTCGAATTGGAATCACCGCAAAAGAAATTGTCGGCAAGTAGTATGGATATGATGTCCGAAGTATTGGCAGCGGCCGATAAATTCGATAAAGAAATCAATGACATTGAATTGCATGACGTTATGAATGAAATGCCACAAGTTGAATTTGACGATGTGGTAAATGGTGTGATGGATGAAACAATTCGATTGGAATTGGTGCAAAATAATGAAATTGATATGAAATTAAGCGGAGAACCATCATTGTCCGATGATTCAAATGAAATACAAACAACAAGTAATGGCATTATGATTGAAAGTAACGATCAAACATTTGTTGAGGATGAGCCACAACAAAATATCACACAAATTAATCTATCGACGGCAATGGCGACGACGACAACGACGACGACGACAGCCACTGTACATTTGGAATTGAAATCAAATGACAACCATTTCGATGACATTGCAATCGATTCGCCAAAAACTATTAATTATGGAACAAATGTAAGTGATGATGCAAAGGCATCACGTTATCCATTGAGCACACTTGAACGACCAAAATCGGAAGTGCTCAAGCAATTGATAGCACAACAAGTTCCTGGCGATACTGATGACAAATCGATGGACATGAATGGCATTTCATATGCAAAGAGTGTATCCATCGATGGTCCAATCAATATATCAGTGGCCGTTCATACTGACAGCGATGCCAGTGAATCCGTTCAAATATCGCCAGTCTTTTCGAGTGACGGCAGTGGTGTTAACAATATAAGCATTTCATCAACAGAAAGTGATTCAAAAGATTCAATTGCATCGCCGATGCTTACAACAACAACAACTGAAAATCGAATAACAATATCAACTAGTGACTCGCAACCAGCGTCAATTATCATTGAAGATGAAACATTAAATTTTAAAATGCAAACGCTGGACGATGAACCAAATGAGCAATCGTTGATTAAATCACAATCAGCAAATGGTTCGCCGAAGAAAAACGAAGTGTTTATCGTTGAAAGTTTATCATCAAAAAAATCGCAAGAATCTTTGTTACCAGTGAGCCAAAATGGGCGTGAAACAAAGCCACCAACACCCGGAAATAAGGGTTTTGTCACCGAAATTCGTTTTCCCAATGCAAATAAAGATAAACAAATGAATGCAAAAAATTTAAGTAAATCAATGGAAAATCAACGAAATCATTCACCGGAAACAAAGAATGGACAAAATGAGGCAAAAGCATCGAGTCCAAACGATAGCCGAAAAACAACAAATGAAAAACCAGTTATTGTTGAAGAGGAATACATTCCACGAAATAATGAGATTCGTTTTACCACATCGACGTATCAATCGCCACGACAGCAATTTGAAAAGCGTCATTCACAAATTGATCAAATTCGATCGAATTTCGAACGAAGTCATACATCGGAAATTCCAATACCGATTCGTAAAACTAGCACACCCTCCACACCACCACCACCACAATCATCAAATGTGGCTCGCGTCAGCCCATCCAAAATTCCCGTATTTACATCGCAAAAGAGTAGCGATAATCTTTTGAAAAACAATAACAGTACGAACCGAGTCAGTGTCACATCAATAAAGAATTCGTCGCGAAATCCGAGCGGCAAATAAAAATGAAAGTAAAATGTACTTGAGTTCTTATTTTTTTCTTCTGCCAAACACCTCGTTGCCATCGATCGAATTTCCCTTCCAAAAAAAAAAAATAGAATTGTCAGCCAAACATCAAATGGAAACATGCACTTTTTCCACAAGCATAATGGGCCGTCTTTGTTTTATTCTGAATAAATTTCAGTTTTAAATCAGATTTCTCCATTGAATTGTTTGCTTTTTACATCAATTGTAATTTGTGACAACAGATTGAAATGTTACGAATGCAAACGATGTATGACAGTGACGGCAACCGCGGCGCGGCAACAAGGGCAACAATGACAGTGGTGACAGTGGAATCAGCGGCGACGGTGCATGGCAGAACAAGACGAAAAAGGCCATCAGTAGAATTTCAAATTAAGCCAATAATTCATGTTGTTGTTATGTTGAATGGTGCAACACTTTTGTGTGTGTTTTTTTAAATAAAAATTATAACTAGGTATCGAATCGATATTTTTATCGAATAATAATCGTTAAATGTTAGGCAGTAAGGGCGCACATGTATTTTGTAGTAATATTTTCTTCAACCTCCCCCCGTTTTGATTAGTTAATATTCAGCAGTTTTATTTGAATAAAAAAATTGTCAAGAGTGATTGCATTAAAAATTGAGCAATTTTGACTTTAGTCAAGAATATTTCAAGTCTCGCATAGAACAATTTTAGTCAAAATATAAATAAACAAAGAAATGCATATGAGTACACATCCATTGAAAACAAACAAAAAATAAAAACCGACAAACAATACAATTTCGTTGAAATGAAATGTTGATAGTTGCATGTGTCAGTTTTTGGCACAACACTTAAGTGCGCTTCACCAAATTTTGAGCGAACAGTGGAATTTTTGATAAGTATATAATGCATATTGGTTTTATTTGTTTCCGTCGGAATGCTTGCGTTTGTGGCATCCGAAAGTGCTTTTATGCTGAAATACTTCGAATACTGTGAAATCAAATATCAAAATACGCTCGGCACTACATTTGCAGTAAACACACATTTTGTAGAATGCACGAAATTTAATTGAGATTGTATTCTATAAAATGATTCGAATTCTATATTTAGAATGTTTAATTTCAATTCTATTCAAATTTCAGTCAGTTCACGAAAATTCACAACGACAATACCTGTAAATACCGCCTAATTCCATAAAGTTTTATGCAAATGTGTATGTTTTATTGAGAGTGATTGAGAGTAAGCCAGAATGGGAGATAAATAAAATAGCGAACGACATTGAAAAGATACATCAGATTGAAAATTGCAAAGAGATTTTTGTGGCCAATTGTTATGAATGTGAAATGCATTTACTGTATTATTGTTTTATGTTCACGTCATTCGGCGAATGTGAGCTCAAATTTTCAATTGAAAACGACCACTATTAGATGTTAAGAGGGCAACATATACAGCCTATGTCTATTATTATCATTACATTATACATATACAATTCAATTTTTAAACAATTTTAACCATATTTAAATTATATTTATCGTTGTCAGTTTCATTTATTTTAGAATTTGTTTGTCTATTTACATGTAAAATACATTTAAATGTCTATAACATTTGCTTTTTGCTTCGTTTCGTCTCGTTTTATTCCATTTTATGTATTTTTTGTCCTTTTTTCTTTTATTCTTGTTCGTCTTACAAATATGCATGCAAACAATTTTTTTTAAAACAAAACGGCTACATTTATACATTGTAGACTATTAGATTTTAAGTGAAAAAAACCGGATAAATTCCAAAATTCTATATGTTAAAATTAACCTTTTTTAACAAATCCAGAAATCGAAATAAAAATTTTTCAAACGAATATACTGTATCTTTATTTTTAATGCTATTTTCATCTCCGCATAAATCCACTTTTATCAAGTGTAAAAAGGGTTCTATCGGTAAAATCTCTAGCAAATCGAAAGAATCTAGAGGTTTCCAAGGGTTTTTTTTGTGAGTGGTAATCAGAACCTTAGGAATCCACGTCAGCACCTGTAAAAAACGCCGGAAAATGTATGCGAAATTATGTCGATCAGCTTTTTTCTATAAAAACTTACCTTCAATTTCATATCTAAAAACGGAACCATAAATGAATGTAAAGAACGCAGAAGACAGATGGCGTTTGTCATTATAGTGTCTCACATTTTTTTTTACAAATTTTCACAATATCATCAATTTCCTTTAACATTTTAACATAAAATGGTGAATTAAACGAACCAAATTCTTTGGATAAAATACCAAGACCATCGTTCGTTGTTGGTTGATACCTCTGTCTGTGATGTTTTATAAAAACCAATGGAGGCCGACATAAAAACAGTATACATAATCTTCGTTATGAAAAAAAATCTTGGAAATAAGTACGATTTAAAAGATTAAAACACCTAGCTGGCGAGACGTGGAAAAATTGATTTAAAATTCATGGGGCGTAAATATGGTGTTTTTCGTTCGGTTTTAATTGAATGTTTAATATGGTATAATTACTTACTTTAAAGCTAAAAGCTCTCTGAAGCATTTGTCGGTATGTATAAGTGTGAGACTCATTTTTTTATAATTAATATTTTAGTTCCGAGACATTTTTTACCGTGTCTGGCAGTTCAAAAGGTCAATAGAGAAATTTATATGCAAAAAAATGATATGGTTAGTCCAATAAACTAAAAGGGATAAATATATCGAAATTCCGAGCAATTAGGCCTGAAGCTGACTTTTGCACAAAGACATCAATTGTTTCGAATTGGCGAAATGAAAAAAAAAATAGCAGAGAAATGCCACAGACAGTTACAATTTCTCATGCAATGCATCATTTTCTGTTGAATTAAGACTTATTCAAATATATAAATTGAAAACATCAAACAAATATTTTGTTATTTCTCTTTTGCCAGATGCTTCTGTTACTTTCTTTCATTTGATGATTTGATTTCAATCGTTGCAGTTCATGGTTTCTCGTTTGTTTTCATTTGGTTGGAGACCAAAAGTAATGGCAGGAATAAGACTGAGATCTTCGACAGACGTGATGAAAGAGAGCGAGAAAGACGAGAGAGAGAGTGAGGTGGCGAGTGAAGAGTAAATATTTCGTTGAAATACCTTTCAGTTTATTTGGAGCATGGAATGTATTTTACCAATTCCGTTGATAGTTGCGCCAAGCGAATCGACAATAATTGTGCTTTCCCTTTGTTTTCCACTCGACGAAAATCAGCTTTTGGCTGTGTGCAAGTTGCACATTGCATTTTATCGATGCACTCTTTGTACAAATTTATATTGGTGTGCGGGGTGTGGGGTATGTGTGTGTGTGTGTATGTCTGCATAATTCAAATATCAAGTAGTTGAAAACCCAAACTTACCGTTGAATAATTGGAAACTTTCATCTTACGGACTTTCCGCCCCAATGAATTGTTCAACTCGAAATCCATTTTCACCCCGACGCAAATATTCCAATGCATTCAAAAGGAGAAAGAGTAAGTGGGAAACAAATCGAATCATAAACAAGTGCATATTCGAAATACCTACTTATTGTAATGCATAAGCATAGTCGCTTTAAAATCCCTTTATCCGGCGAGCTCAATTCCAAAAACTAACTGGTGAAAACGGCCAGGTACTACACTTGTACACATCGTGATCGTTACACTTTTCCACCTTTTCTAACTTTCGTTCGTTCTCTGTCGTTTTTGTTGCCGGAATTTTACCGTGATAACGCCAACAACTGAAGCGAACAAGCCTCGAGTTTGTGTTTAAAAGCATGTTTCAGAGTATATATTCGATGCAAGTTCCTTGGTGCATATTGTTTTCTGCGGGTGCATGTGGTTTATGCGGGAGAACATCAGAATGGACGGGGAACGAGGGGGATTGGGGGGTTGATTGCACCATGTAAAGATGTTAGTTATCCGACGCAAAGTTGAGAATTTTAAAAAAGAAAATCGACAAAGTCTTCAAGAGTGCTGAATGTATAACAGAGTGAGAAAAAGAGCAAATGGATTAAGACTGAGCAAAGCCATGGCATTAGGATGGACGAATTTGTCGATGCTAAAATACATTGTACAAAATAATACATTTACAACTTTCTTGCACACAACACACCTTACTTGTTCATCGCCTTTTTTTATATAATATTTTGTTTTTTTTTCGCTCTCTCTCTCCTATCCTTTCTGTGTGTCTGTCTCGTTTAAATTTGAAACTAACGGCGCCACTCTTGTTTTTTTTTTCTTCTTCGTTGCAAAAGTATTATCGCCTTAAAACATGATTTTTGTGAAATGCGGTGGTTGGTGTTGAAATGCGCTCCACACCATTTTTGTGTGCCGATTTTGTGTGAGCCGAGTTTTTGGGAGTTTGAGTTTATTGGTGAAAAGTGTGCTTTTTCGTTATGTGTTGAGTGGACTATATCGTATTGACATCATTTATTCATGCATTTTAATTGTGGGTTGCTTTTAGATGAAACAACATCCAACCAAGCACACACACACACAAAAATGACAATGACAACGATGACGGTGATAACAAAAAAAATTTACACGGTGACGTTAAAAGGGTTTTAGAGCATGCGAAATGACATTGTGTGTATGTGATATCATTTGCCTAAAAATTGAAGCGCATATTTTTCGGATATTATACTCTTTTTTTTCGGCGCCATAATATTTTTTATGTCGATTAATTTTGTTGTTGTAGTTGGTCGTTTACGATTTATAAGCAATTTTCGTCTTGGCTGATTGACGCAGGTGAATCATTCACAAAGATGCATTAACACAATCACCCAAGTACTTGTATTAATACTCGATGGAATAGCCATTGCCTAATGCAACAATTTAAGCGAATAATTTGCGTGAATGAAACATTTTCAGGTGCCAGTCGAGTTGTATACTTTTTACTTGTGCTTTATTAAATCATGTTAACATCTGAATATTGATCTAATGCTAATGGCTTTTCTACACATATTTAAATCTAAATATTACACAATATGTTTTAATACATTACAACAATCGGAATGTATTTTAAAATCTAATCAGATTATTGCATTTTAAACCCATTTCTCTTGCTCTATATCTTTTTTCCTCTCTTTCTACCAGCCGGTGGTATTAGGTCCTTCCGTTTCAACTTAAAACTTTCAAGTGCATTATTCTTCCATCTCAAAAGTGGTGATGGAAGTGGATAAATTTGAAGCGTCAGTTGTGCATTTACATTTTCATAGTGTCCTCCAATCATAATAGATTAATGCGCTCTCTCTCTCTCTCACACACACACACTCACACAAATACAATACTTTCACTTCCCTTATCCCACTTTCAAAATTTAAATCACAACGACGAATAATAGCCTAGCCGAACAAACAGACATAGAACGGAATAATGTGATGAAAAGAAGTAAAGAAATTGAAAAAAGAAGAAGAAGAAGTGCAAAAAATAAACGAATCTAGCTCGATTATTTTGCCACAAGTTTGAATTACGGTTGAATGGGATATAGATAGATCAGTAGATGGAATAGATATGGGGAAAAGAGAAAGAGACCGGCCGTAAGGAAAGAGAAAGAGAGAGATATATAGAAACTGTATGTGTTTGCATCCATTTCAAATCGATAGTTCATCCACTGCGCTCGAGTAGCGATTGCAAAAGTGTGAAGTAGGATATCGATGTACTCAAAATCTGAAAATAGTTAAAACGAACAGAAAGTAAGAAAAATCGTATCATTTTTTGAAAAAGTGAAGAGTATTATTCGCGAACCAAACTGAACTGCATTTAATATATTGTATATGACGAGAAAAAGGCGCAGAAAAAAAAGCAATGAGAAAAAAAACAAATTGTGCGTTTTTTTGTGTGTTTCCAAAAAGAAAAACCGACGATAATTGAACTTACTCGAGTGAATGTGTTCAAGGCCAGCGTTGAAAACTTCATCGCCATCAAAATCAGAGGCTTTTGTGAACGTTTTATGGTGAATTTGATGGTTTTCACGACCTCCACATCTGCTGGGAAATCGAAGCGTGCTACTGATGCTACTGGCTTTTCGGATTGTCTACCATAGTTTTCGTCACTCGATTTCCCTTGCCAATCACAAAAATACAGTATATCAGCCGTATAAACACTCTATTTCGAAACAAAAAAAACAAAAAGCACAATGAAGAAAAAGAATTTTGCGATTTTTCTTTATCGTTTGCTATATCATTTTCGTATTTGTTCGAACAACAAAAACAAAACATCGCTTTTCATTTTGGCAAGAGACATTTCATGGAATTTGTCGACAAAAATTGAGAAGAGTAATTTTACATACGTGCTCAATGATATCGTTGCCTTTCCAGCAGAGGATAAAGAGCTGCGATAATGCCGATACGATGTACACGACAAGTTTCAGAAAATCGCCAATAGTCAACTCAACCTAGAATTTTTCATTTGACAGTTTTTTTATTATTATTGTCATTTGTGACGAATGACAGTGAGACAGAAATAGAGAGAGAATGACAGAAAAAAAGTCGAAAGAAAAAAAAAAACACGTGAATATAATTAATATCCTCGGGTCGATGATTTTTTTTTCTATTTGCGTATGATGTACGAATGCCAAGCAGTGTAAAATGAACACGAAATGAGATGAAATGCGAGAAAATAAAAAATTATCATGAAATATTTTATATATTTTTGCTGGATTCGTATAAAGTTTTGGGTTGGTATTGGTGATGGCGGTGAATGAGCGTGAAATGAAATGAGCGAAACCGTTGTTGTTGGTTTGCTTGATGAAAATGTGCTTACTGCAACGATTTGCAGCCCCACCATACAAATCAGCAACGAACTAATTATATAGTTTATAAGCAGAATGGGACTGAAGAAATCGTGTAACTCCTCGAAAAAGCTGCAAATATAAAATATGAGAGATAAAGATAGAGAGAACGAGAGAGAGAGAGAAAAAAGAATGAAAATTAATTTAACATCATGTAAATAACGCGAGTAAGAAAAATACATCACATTAATTCATGAAAATTGAAATAAATAAATTAATAGCGCGTCACTCAATTTAACTTAATTATTATTATATCCTTCTCTCATTTTAATTCAACGTTTAATGCGACATGCATCAGAACAATTTTAGCATACGGTACCTGATCAGTGTTCTATGGTTGTCGATGATGCGAATCAGATGATTTCGATATTCCAGTTGAACGGCCGAATTTCGTGCGTTTGACCAATTTTCGTGCAATAGATTTGGATATTTTTTCAATGCATTTCTTTGTCCGATTCGCATTAAATGCGTTATCTGTTCGTGCAATAAACGAAAACGTCCACATGTATGAGTGGTGAAAAATGCAAATAAACTGTCTTCAGAGAAGAGATTTGTCACAACACCAAAACCGGCCAACGATGTTAGAAAATATGTTATCGAATAATAAAATGTTCGATTTGCATCGTATGGAAATAGCATACGATATGGAAATGGTTTTTCGCTGCCATCCTCAATGCCATACAATTCAAGCAATGGAAACAAAATGTACATCCAAATCAGTACAAATTGTAACAATGAAATGTATTTTAGTACAATCATTTCCGATGTACATTCCCTTGAGATTTTCTGATGTGTTGACCTATAGAATACGGTTGAATTTATAGATTGTGATGTTATTCAATGATTGATAAAAAGTATAAATTACTTTGAAATCCAAATCTCCTTAACGAAACTGGCAATCAATTTCTTGAGCGCTTTCCGATTATAGCTTAAATGAATCAATCGCAAGAGATTATGAATGCCCATAAAAACTGTGCAACCGCATTCGGTAACGATTAATACATCGCTAAAAGATGCAAATAGAAATGATGCTTGAGCACAGCACGTTAATGCAATTAATACGATAAGAGCGTACGCCCAAAATAAGTACAATCGATCGAATAGACTTCGCGAATATTTGTCACTATTCAAAGGCCAAGCACCATTGAATTTCAACATAAAACACTGCGACGGAAACGCAAAGGCGTCATCATTGTCATTTGGGAGCGGATTAAACAACGACATGATGGGAATTTAAATGAAACGAGAGAAGAAGAAAAAGAATGAAAAAAAAACCACGTTGAAAGCAGTAAAATGAAATGAAAATAAGAATTTTCTCAATTTGAAGTGTTTCAACACTTTTCCAAACTGAACGATTTTTTGGTCACAACATGCAATTTATAGGCAGCGCTTTTAATAAACATGACCTAGAAAAAAAAATCCATCCGTATTCAAAGTGTTTATTTTATTTTCAAAACAACAAAATCAGTTTATTTACCGATCGAAACAAAGACAAACAATTTTTTATCTATTGTCTGTGAATGTCCCAATATTCAAATAATAATGGCTATGAAAATATTCCGAAACAAAAAATCGATTGTCTTTTTTTTTCGTTAATGGTTTTTAATAAAAGGATCATAATTTATGGTCTGTGCGGCCAATGCGCGCGTCATAAACGAAAATGCGACACAGTTTGTTTTTTTTTTCGTTGAAAGCCACAATATACCTTTCAATTATGGCACCAAATAAATATGGTCACCTTTTAAGGGGATCACTAAGTTTGTAATTAGTTTCGGATTCATATACATAAACTTTATCATTTACATCAAAGAAATATTAAATGAACAAACTATGACGCTTTTGTGATGTTTGATAGTTTTTCGGTTTTATGTTAATATTCCACCAGCTATATCTTTTAGTTGGTTTTTATACGTTCAAGTTGAGTGCTACAGCATATCCATTCTTTCAATGCGATTTGTGATGGTTGGAAAATTGAACCAATTTTCTCCCGTAGAAGTGACATTTTTGCAATTACTTTGAGAGCAGAGAAAGAGAGAGAGAGAAGGACTCTTGTGAGATGAGAATGCTAGCGTCATTCTCACCGGTTGCCATTCGATTCGGTATTAACCGGGGATTGCGTTGGCATATTTATATGAAAACGTCAGTGGAATCTTAATCGCGAACGCCATCTTTGGTTACATGTTTATAGCTGTTTCTTTGCTGAAAATTTCACTTCTATTTACTACAATATTTATTTAGAAATATACAAATATTTTAAATATTTGTGATGAAATGCACAGAAATATACATTGTGGATGTATATCAAATATTCATTTTAATTCTTCTTAAAAAAGAGCATGTTACACAAAACAGGTACGACAAATTTCAAATTTACAAAATGTAAACAAGAAAATGACAGCTATTATTCGGTCCAACATTGAACTGATAGAACCGCTTGTTAATGTCATATATACTTTATACAGATGGGGAACAAGAGATGGCGTTGTCATAGAATTCGGACTAAAAATGTCAGTCGTAATACCGGGTTTTTCGGTATCAAGGGATTCAACGATAAGAAATGAAAATCAGTCAAGATTTACTGTTATATTTTTGGTCGAAAATTCGAAGATATGTAATAACGTTGTGCACAGAAAGATTATTCAATGTCATTTTCTCAATGTAAGCATAAAACAAACCGAAACTAATCCTTTTATTTGAAGACGAAAAGATATCGTATCGAATAGCATTTAAGTCGCTTCTATTGGTACATATATATATTTGTGTGTATGTTTTTGTGTCGTGTTTCTATTCTTCAAAAGATTATGCAGTGAATTAAGGATATATTTGAAAGAAATGGAATGAATGAAAACAAATCCATCATACGCACACCTATGTAACTAATTAAGTTTTGTATAACGCACAGTGTAGATAAGTAGTTGTGGTATATATCATATTATATATACCTTTTAGCCGGAATTCAATGTTCATCTAATTGATATTTGAATTTAATTAGTGAATTGAAATGATAATTACGAATTTAGCAACATGTTGAGGTTCTATCATCAATGCAGCAAACTTCCGAAAACGTGTATGGTTTTTGCTAATTATTCGCAACTATTATCTCTCCATTAACGAGATCCTACATTGTTCGAAAACGTCAACATTGACACAAAACTTTGGCTCTCACATTAAAACACATACAAAAAGAACATATTCAAATTTCGACTTGAAAGCAAGAACATGTTTTTTTTTTCCACTCCTAAAATGAAAATCAGTTTTTTTTCTCTTCTCTGGATGCATCTAGAAATGAACAGCAAAAAGTGCTTTTAACAACTATTGTGTTCGTTAGCAAAAACTGTTAAGTTGAATATATATTTCAGGATGGAGAGGAAAAAAAAAGAAACCATACAAAATGTGGTATAAATCTTTGAGATAATAAAATAGGAAAAATTCAGTGTTCACTGTACACGATGATGATGCACTTTTGCACTGGAGTTATGAAGAAAAGTGGTTGAGGCAAAAAAAAACCATTAGCATGGAATTTAACGTGAAATCTCTTCATTTAAAGTTAAATTCATGTTATTTAATAATTGAAAGGAATAAGAAAACGCATATTTCAATCTAATCAGAGCGCTTATTTGTTGTGATTGGTAAATTGCATTTAAAATGTAGACCGAGAACTGGGGCTGGAGCTTGTGTGTATGATTGAAACATAAAACACTCGAAATTGGTCGATAGATACAAAATGGCACTGGCAAAGAAGGCAAAAAACCCATTTGACTAAACGGACCGACGACGACAACGAAAAGAAATAAAGAGCAGAAGGACGATTACTTTGCGTATAAGTCGAAAAATTGCATTTTTGTCTCTCCTTTCGGTTTGCCGTGCGAACGAAAAGCAGACGAAGAAAAAAATCTAGAGACGAATAAATTGGCAACAATAAAGTTCAGTCTTTAAGTAAAAAGTCTGTTGGCCCCGTTGGGCGAACCAGAGAAAAAAAATGATGGTAACATCGTGTGAATAATGTGTCGCATGTATTTGTGGTGTATTCTGGGGCCGGGTAGTTGTTCTAATAGTTGTTCAAATACAAAGACATTCATGAAACAGTATGCACGTTTTCTAGTCATCATTAAAGCCGCCTTTTATCGTTACTTTATTATCAACGAATAGTGGCACATCGCATACCAGAAAACAACACATTCTCACATCATATGCACTCAATTCGGGTACGATTTTGGATTGGGATTTTTTTCCGTTGCTTTGCGCGGTCGTGCCAAGTGCGAAGAAAAGGGAAAAAAGTTGCACGGTAAACACTTTTTTTACTGATATTATTTTTATTGTCGATTATATCGTCAACTTTTATCATCATTTCCTCAAATTCCTTGTGGTGTTGTCGCCTAAGATAGTATTTTACTTTATCTCGACCGTCTCAATTTATATTCCCCATTTATTCGTGCAATTGGATTTTTTTTTATTTTTGTTGTTGTTTTGTGGATTTCATTCAACATTCCAAGTCTACTTACTATCATTATTATTATTTCTTTCGCTTTGGTATAGTACGTTCTGGTGAAACTAAACTGTGTATTTTGTTAGATGGGTAATTCTCACACTTGAACATAGGACTTTGGCTATGTCATGGTAGTTTGTGATTTTGATTTGATGTCTGCGTTAAGCTGTGTGACGAACGATCTCATTTAAGCCATATAATCGTTTTTCGGATTGTGCCACACATACTTAAGTAATGCAAACGAATGAAAAGAGTCACAATGATACTCTGTTACTGAATAAAGTAAACAATTGGCCGTATGATGATGATGTTGGCAATTTGGCATATGCCACGAGCCACTCACATTCAAACTATTCACATACACACAAAATAAACGTTGCATGTTGGCGTTCGCATATTCTATACATAATGGTTGCCGCACACAGTCCACAAAACATTTTGCTATGAACGGTGTTAAAACTTAAATATTTAACAAAATGTATTTTCAAAATGATTAAGTTGCGCTACTCTTTTCAGTTTCGAGTGTGTGTGTGTGTGACCAGTGAATATTTTGTCAAGTCATTGTGTTCGCGTTTTAAATTGGTGGCAATATTGCTTATGATGAGTATACGGACAATAGCGCGTATATTTCCAAGTTCAATTGCTATTGTTCTGTCACCAATGTGCATCGGTACACAATCGTTAGCATTATTATGAGTGGATGAGCATGGTATTACTTAAATGCCTCGTAAAATCGATGAAATCATTAAATAGCTTCAACTTTTCCCATTACACGTTTCTCACTTACGTGTTTTCCATTTCAGTTTAGCCAACTTCGACTTGTGTGGCGCGTTTCACGTCGTCATCGACTAAGACGACGACAAAAACATCGATATAATTCGCTTTTCTTCAATTTTTCTTTCCCCACTGAATTGCGGTGCATTTCGATGTCAAGTTGAGGTTCAATCGGTCGATTTCACGTATGGTATTGCAAATACAAAAAAAAAAACTCCGTTGATGATATTTTCCAATGAAAGTGAGTGCGGTCGTTTTTAATATTTTATACAGTTTGCAGACATAACTACGTTCTTCGAGACACACGCGGACGAAAACGAATGAAGAAACCAACGCTCGACAAACCCACATACATAACTAACATGCAACCGTGTATGGCACACGAAATACGGCGAGGGTAATAAATAGTTCATGTGCAAATATTTATCATTCATAATTTTAATATATTTTAGTGACTGCATAAGCCCATCGGATAAAATGCATTAAAATGAAGTTAAATATTTGAAAAAAACAAATCATCAGTTTGATGCGGCTGTGTATGGAATAGAAATAATAAAATTAAATCAAATAAGAAAAAAACAAACATAGTCACCAAACGCGATGACTACGCACAGTCAAAATAATATGAGAAAGGAATGAGAAGAAAAAAAAAACCGAACGAAAACGGAGTGATTGCGTTCAATTTTAATACATTGCCGAAAATGAAAAAAACCAAACAAAATTTGTTCAAATGATTTATGGAATGCCAGCCCGCACCCATTATATAACAAATACAAACACAAATATCATTGTGAAATAAATTGCAAATATGAAAAGCGAGAAAATAACAACAACAAAAATAACATCAGCAGCAGTAGCAGCACCAAACACCATACATATAACAAAAATCAACAACAGCCTAATTGAAACCCTCGAGGATACAACCATATGCACAACACATATGGAAGTGCCGGATTTGATGGCA